GAAGGCGGGGGGGGTCGGCAGGGGAGACGTCCTGATGACCTCACTGCCCCTAGTCCTTGTCCTCCGCATGGATGGGGCTGGGGACAACAGTGAGGCGGCCACCCCATGGGGAAGGGATCATGTGTTGTGGCTCCTGAGTGCAGACAGAGCTGAAGGCACCCCTGAGAATCCGGGTGAGAGCAGGAACCAGGAGAGACTGGGAGGTGAGCACCTGCCAGATGGGCACCTGTGGGTGACCCAGGGAGGGACAGGGCCCCGAGGAGTGGGTGGCACCTTGTACTGGAAGTGGGGAGCAGGCAGGATGACAGGGCAGATGACAGGGAGCCGGGCAGGTCCAGGAGAGGGGGAAGGGGAAGGGGGGAGGGAGGAGGGGGAAGGGGGGAGCACCCCTGGGAGAGTGACTGTGATAGGTTGTGACCCCTCAGGCAGCTGGTGGACAATCAAAGACGAGGGCCGGGGACACAGTCATTCTTGTTGAGTGACAAGTTCCCAGCAGAGGGTGGTGGTGGGGACAGCCAGAGGTGTCAGGGAAGAAGAAGGGGCCTTAGGGGAAGGGCACCTGCTTGGCATTTCGGAGCTGGCCTGGCACTCTACGGTGGTTGCACAAACGGGGTATGGATGCTGAAGTTCTGCCAGCGTCTAGCGGGGCCGGAGTCACCATGATGGCCTGGATATTGGGGTATGGAAGATAAATACTGGCAAGAAACTGAATGCCGCAGGTGAGCCCGGGAAGTGTGGGGGGAGGTGGAGATAAACCCTCCTGGCGATGGCAGCGAAGGAGAGTTTGAGGAGGTGTGGGCCCTGTCAGGGGGCCACCCCTGGCATCATGCCACATCTGTTGTTGGAGTGTGATTTGTTTTATTTTAGTCGCCATTTTGCATCAAGGTCAGCTGTGTTGACTCAGCAGAGTAACCGGCGCCACGAGTCATCCAGCCACAGCACAGCTGGGACCAGCGCTTGAGTTTTCTTGTCTCCCAGTTCAGGGATCTTTTCCTGAACTGTGGTTTTTTACGGTTTTCGCATAGAAGTCCTTGATTAACACTCTGGATTTAAATTTTTAAAGAGCCACCTTGATCATTAACCCTTTGAGGGTTTAAAGAAACTTCTAGAATGAAACGGTCTGATGCGGACACCCCATGCCACTAGGCTTCTTCTCTGGTCCCGTCATGATCCCAGTGACCTCCCAAGTTGGGCGAGGCCCAGCATTAGTTAGGATCAGGCACAGAAAGGAAACCAGAAACAAATTGTTTCTGTAAAGATTTAATTTTATGTGACGTGAAAACTCGGTTCCACATGGTCACCCCCGGTAGGACCAGGTCTGCTGGATCAAGAAGTCACATCAGATTTCACTCACCGGATGGTTGGTTCATCTACTTGAATGATTTCTGGGTCTGTCTGAAGTTGGCCGGGCAGATGGCTCTGTCTAGTTTCACGATGAGCTTAGGGAAGAGAGCAGTGGGATTTTCAGGACCCTTTTGGGGGAATCTAGCTTTGCATTTATCTGCTGGTGATTATCACAAGATACCAATTTGTAAAAACACAACTAAGTACACACTGGTGCTATCTGGCCTCTGTTTATCTTGACGGCTTGGCCATCCAGTGACAGTGCTGGGGGTGTGACCTCATGGGAAGCTCTTTGCTGCTCAGAATGCAGCTTTCTGTTAACCAGGGGTCACAGACTCAAGAACAGCAGGGGCTCTGTGAGCCTCACTCCATTCAGGATACCTGGGCTCACGTTAGGGATGCGTTCAGTCCTGGTTTGCAAACAGCCTGTGGGCAGATGGTCTGTCTGTGCTTGTGATGGTCCCTGCCCTTCCTCCGAGATGCAGTCCTGGCCCCCGCAGCTGCCTGAGCTGTGCTGCACCCATAGGCTCCCTCCCCGGCATCACCAGGGCCCAGGATGAGGAGATGCAGGAGCCAGGGTTTCGACGATTCCCTGTTACTCAGGTGGGCACACTCATTGCAGTCAATGTTGATGATATAAAGACAAGAGTATCCCCATGATCACATTTTGAGGGTTTTTCCTCCAATTGTCTCTCTTGCACATGTTTGATGTCATCGTGACGATAGAGTATTTATCTTGCTTCTTAATGTTAGAAAGCATTGTCCCATATCATTGAAATGTTCATAACAATTTAATTGCTTGTAGCTGCTGCGTTGTGGTTGTTGCATGGTTTGTTTAATCATTTCTCCCTTGTCGGTTTCGGAGTGAATTTCGGGCTCCACGAGGGCAGATGACACAGCGCCACACATCTCCCTGCATCCCCCGTCCCCATCGTGCTTCCGGTTCAGGCTTGGTTGGTTCCTGGAAGTTGATGTAATGAGCTATGTAGATTTTCCCGACTTTTACACGTGATAAAGAAGGTAGTGCCAGCGCACACTCATGCAGGATAGAAGTGTCTTTGTTTAGGGCAGGGACAGACGCATCCAGCTGCCTTACGATGGGGGCTCCGCACATCAGAAAGACCAGCCGTGTAATGTAGAGTGTGGACTTGGAGTGACGCCGTATCAGTCAGTCAATCGTTTGTGTCTGTGTGACTCTGAACACGCAGACTCTGGGCACTTCCCAGGCTGACAGTGCTCCAGGCATGTTGTTAGAGTCGTGCTGGGAGGGTAACATGTCTGAACCCCATGCAGCAAGGACCTGAGCTCTGCAGTTGGTCCCACCCTGCCCTGGGCACCTCTCTTCTTGAGGTTTGGGGATAGTCCTCTGCCCTCATAGTTTGACTAACTCCAGATACGTTGAGAGAGAAGAGAGAACCCACGACAGGATGCTCAAGATCAGCACCTCCTGTGCCCGCCTTCCTTGTACACTTGGGCCACTTGTGTGTTTACTGGTCCTAGACCACAGAGCTTCGGCGTGTGGCCTGGGTGCCCTCCCTCCTCTGCACGGCTTTGGTAAGGAGGGCAGCGGCGCTCGGTGGCAGTCCCGTAGCTTGAAAGAGGCAGTGTTTTTGCGGAACATTGTTATTGACGATCTTGTCAATAATTTCATTAAAAAGGTTTCAGCATATGTGTTTCTCATCTGCAGATGAGGGACCCAAGACACAAGTGTATTGGGGCTCCATGTCCGCCCTACAATGCCCCCCATGCCCCTTCTCCGGGCTGTTTCCCCAGGCCATGTCCCGGGCAGCCACCCCTGTTTGCACTGGCCATGTCCACCCTACGATGCCCCCCATGCCCCTTCTCTGTGCTGTTTCCCTGGGCCATGTCCCGAGCAGCCACCCCTCTTTGCACTGGCGCTTGAGGGCTGAGATGAGCCACCTGGTAAAATGAGTTCCCGGGCTATTTGCTTGCGTTTCATAAGGAAATGTCTTCTCTTTGGGAGGTGCGCCCCACCCTCACATCCCTCCGTGGGCCAAGCTCTGTCGCAGGTTGTTGGGTGGACGGGCGCCTTTGCTTTTCCTCACTCCCCTGCTCGGAGGTCGGAGGGCAGGCAGCCTGGCCGTTCCTCCTGCACGCAGTGGACATGGTTGTTCTGAAGCGAGAGCAGGCTGGGGAGAAGGAAGAGGGGCTGAGACGACTCTGCTGTCCTTGTGCCGTGTGTTCACCTCCAGGCCCTGGTTTCTTTTAAATGGTGGGAATCCGTCATGATGCCTGCCCTCCCTCCCCTCCCCACACGGCTCACAGAAGGTGCTTCTCAGTCATCCCCGCCCTGGCCAGCAGCCTGACTGCAAAACCTTGATGTTGGGCAAACTGGTCTCCCCTGTGGAGGTCAAAATTTTTCTTGAATTTGGAAATCTTTGAGACTTCTTGCATTGTTTGAGCCACAGTGCTGCTTCAGAATATTATACCGACTTCTCAATTTCTCATTTTTCTTATGCTATCGCTGAGCCTATTTTGAAGAAATAAGACGTTTTTTATTCCTAAAGGAAAAGGCATTTAGTGGGAGGAAAGAGCATGTGTTGAAGAATTATATTAAGAAGCTCGCTTAGGCTGGGCATGGTGGCTTACACCTGTAATCCCAACACTTTGGAAGGGTGAGCTGGGAGGATCCCTTGAGCCCAGGAGTTCAAGAGCAGCCTGGGCAACACAACAGGACTCCAACAACAACAATTTAAGAAAAGAAGTTCACTTAACTCAGCTACCCTGTGTCGCTGATGCATCGCCTCTTTGAATATTATTCCTATGAGGACGGTGCCATCAGATGGTTCCTACGGTGGGAATTGCTGTTCAGCTAAATCTCGATAGCGGAATCATGCTCATGGCTCTGAACACGTGGCATTTGGTTTTCCATTCTGAGTTACTTCACTTAGAATAATGGCCTCCAGCTCCATCCAAGTTGCTGCAAAAGTCATGGTTCTGTCCTCCCGGCTGAGGAGTGGTCCTTGGTGCCGCCTGCCCTGTGCGAAACGGCAGCAGCCTCATCCCCCGCCCACTGTCTGTCATGTTTGTCTCTGCGTCATCTGCCGTCACTTGGCACCACTCGTGTGCTTGTTCATTTGCCTGTTACCTGTCCTTCCCCCAGACCCGGCTCCCTTAGGACAGGACCTGGGCGCACACTGCCCATCTTCACATCCCTGTCGTGGGTATCAGCTGCGTGTTGAATACACAGGGGCAAAGTAGACCTTGTGGGCGAGACTCCCCCCAGCGTGGATGGTGAGCTTCCACAGCGTTCGCTGGCTGAGATGTAAACCTGCAGAGCATGATGTGGACTGCTTTCAGTACGTGCCACGGACTGCCCTTGGGGTCCAGTCCATGGTCCATGGGAACCATGTGTGTGACGAGCTGGGCTTGGTCTGTATGTCTGGGGACACCGGAAGAAGCAGTCGTTTTGGAGGTGTGCGGGAGGGAGGAAAGCTGCAGATGGAGGTTGAGCTCTGAGCTGTGAGCTCATGGAGAGGTTAATTCTTCCGGCCATGCGCCGAGGGTCTGTTCAGACCCTTCCTCCCTCTGCTCAGAGCCCTTCGCCACCTGCGCCCGTTTTTCTTGCAACCTCTCCTCCATTCCCTGCTCTCAGAGCTGTGGTATCACTCATGAGAACGCCCGGTGTTTTCTAGGATCCCTGGCCGCCTGAACGACAGGAGGACGCCCCTGGGTGAGCTGAACTGGATCTTCACAGCCATCACAGACACCATCGCGTGGAACGTGCTCCCTCGGGGTGAGGCGCGGGCCGGGCCTTGGGGAGGGAGGCTATGGCCTTGAGTGTGCGGGGAGCCGACCCTTGGACATGAGAGGAGTCAGATAGGATCCATGAGTGCCTCACTAGTGAGGAAGACAGTGGGAGGGGCTGAAAAGTAGAATGCGACCACCTAAGGAGGTTTCTGCGAGGGGGTGAGTTACTGCATGCCGGGTCCTCAGAACAGTGGTGTGGAGAGACTGCGTGTCAGCGTTGGCCCTGACCGTTCGCACAGCCTTTACCACGCACCAGCGGCTTGTCTTCAGAGTCACTGGCATTATTCACGTTGGCCGAAAACCAGAATTGCTGTTGTAAGACTTGTTTGTGTTTTTTGTTTGTTGATTGGTTGATTTTGGGTGTTTGTTCACATTATGTATATGTGCACTGTGTGTGTGTACACGTGTACGTGTGTGTGTACACACGTGTGTATGCATATGCGTATTTGTGTGTTTACATATGTGTGCATGTGTATTTGTGTGCATGTGTGTACATGTGTATGTATCTGTATAGGTGTGTATCTGTATACATTGTGTACATGTGTGCACATGCGTGTGTGCATGCATGTATATTCGTGCACGTGTGTGTGTGTAAGCATGTGTGTGTGTTTCAGCATGAGTGTGTGGTGCTGATGGGAAATATGCATATTAGTCCCAACTTGTTTTTAGCAATTTTTGATAGAAGTGAATTTGTGTATTTGACTTTAAATGCTAGACACAAGTCACTGAAGATTCCTTTTTATCTTTGATCTCTCCTCAGATCTCTTCCAAAAGCTCTTCAGACAGGACTTACTGGTGGCTAGTCTGTTTCGAAATTTTTTATTGGCGGAAAGGATTATGAGGTCGTACAACTGCACTCCCGTCAGCAGCCCGCGTCTGCCGCCCACGTACATGCATGCGATGTGGTGAGTGTTTCAGGATCCTCCGGGTGCTGTGCTCCCCTGCCCTTCGCAGCACTGTGATGTCATGGAATTGCCCAGAGCTGGGCAGGGAGGCCCCACATCTAACTTGGGGGCCCCGTGTAGCATTAACAAGTGAAGCTAAATGCAGGGCTCCCAGAGATCTCCTCACGGCGGAATGGGGGTCTCCTTCGGAGGGCAGAAAGCTTGGAGGGCCTTTTAGGACTGCACGGGAGCAGCGGCCAGCTGAAACCTCACAGCTCTGCAATTCGGGGGGGCAGCACTTTGCAAGAGAGTTTCTGACCTTTTAGAAACCAGTAGTGAGAAAATAACTTGCTGACTTGAATTTATGAAGCGCATCCAAGATCGCCCTGGAGAATTAAACTGTTGGGCTCACGATCAATTAGTTTTTATGCTTATTTCTCACACATACACACACGCTCATAAGTGTAATCTTTTATGAGTGTTGATTATAGTTCTGTCCCATTGCTGAGCTGCTATTTATGCAACTCCTAATGGCAGTCACAGTAACAGCGATGCGATTTGTTTTTAGTCTGGACATTATATTTGAAGACGTTTGGTTTCTTTCTGTTCTGTGGCTGCCCTAACAGAAGCAGGTTTGGGCAAATTCTAAAATGGTATTAAAACAAAGAAAAATATTTCTGTTCATCAATGGGAGAAACCCTAACAACATGAATATTTTTAAAAGAGCGATTAATGTATTCCTAGCCTCAGAAGCTATTGTATGGCATATTTTCCTGGCCAGGTTGACTTTAGCTAGTGTTTTGTGTTTTCTTTTTAAATGTATACGTGACCACTTTCCCTCAACACTGGAACTGCAGAGAAGCAAGAAGGAATCTAAACTCACTACCCATCACCCACTCCAGAAAAGTTAGAAATAATCTAATTTTTAATATTTATAGTCAACATTTATATGAGATAGATCAAAATACATTATACCCAGCACAGCACTTGGACTTTAAACAGAAAAAGTTAAAGCATGCATGATCTGTGTCCTTCTTAAGAGTCTGTAAGATAAAATAGAGAACCCTGATAAGGAGAAAAGAAAATTGAAGTACACCATTTAAATAATGTGTAAATAAAACCACCACACATTTATTTTTCATGAATCCATGAATAACAGAGCTGTAAAAGAGAGTTGTTTGAAAAGCCTTTGCAATATTTAGAATAAATATTTAAAATAAACATTTTTTAAAATAAATAGAGCATTTTTGAAAGAGTATATTCTCAAAATGGCCTTATTCCTTTAAGTAAAGTAAGGCCTTAAATGCTGTCTCTATTTCTTCTGAGACAGGTTTTTGTAATAAATTTATTTTAGAAAGAGAAGGAAAAAGAAAAAAAAAAGAGCTGAAGGGGTCAGTGCCACATCAGATCCTGGATCAAAAACTAGTTCAGTGCTGGGAGCCGGTTGAGCACTCAGAGTGGGGCTGGGCAGGGTCTCCAGGCTTGCAGATTCCCCTTACCAGGAATCAGTCCATGGAAACCTTTTTCCTTCTGGCGTATGTTTTCTCCAGATGTAAAAGCACCTGTCTGACTGCTTAGCTGCATAGAGTTAAAGACAGTGGCATCACATTGGTGTCCGTGCTCAAAGACCAGAGCCAGAGCACAAAGAGCAGCCAGGAGGGGTGAGCGGGCGAGGATGGGTGCTGGGAGGGGCATGTGGCGAGGCTGGCGTGGGGCAGCCGCATCCCCCCTCTCCATCTAGAGGCCGCGTGGCGAGGCTGGCGTGGGGCAGCCACATCGCCCCCTCCATCTAGAGGCCGCGTGGCGAGGCCGGTGTGGGACAGCCGCATCCCCCCTCTCCATCTAGAGGCCGCGTGGCGAGGCTGGCGTGGGGCAGCCACATCCCACCTCTTCCGTCTACAGACTGCTTTCTAGTACTGGCCCCTCAGAAGCTTTCTGAGTGCCGGCATTTGTATCAGTCCTGCTTTACAGAAGGTCCTCGTCTAGGCCTAGCTGCAGCCTCTCCCAGCCCTGCTGGGGCTGCCCTTCCCTGCCCGAGAAAAAGGCTGGCTGTTCTGCAGACTCCGCTTCCTGGAGCCTCACAGAGCCAGCCCTCGCCTGTGCTTGTTTGTTGTGCTAGAGAATCATGAGGTGATATCGCAATCCACAGAGGCCCAGAGAACCTGGGGACAGCATCACATGGGTGCCCTGAAGCCCCTTTTCCTGACGGTCACTGTGGACACTCGGATTTTTCTCCTCTCCTGGTTCTGACCTTCCTGAATGTGTCAGAGGCTCTGCTTGGGCTAATGTGCGTCTTTAGTGTTCCAGCCCGCGTGGTCCATCATCCCACCATACGTGGCCTGCGGCGTTATGTCCTCCCGCTTCCCTTTTGGGTGCATTCACGTGGCCTGCGGCGTGCGTCCTCCCGCTTCCCTTTGGGTGCATCCTCCTGGCTGTTTGGGGTTACGTCTCCCGCTTCCCTTTTGGGTGCATCCTCCTGGTTGTTTTGGGGTTACGTCCTCCCGCTTCCCTTTTGGGTGGCATCCTCTGGTTGTTTTGGGGTTACGCCTCCCGCTTCCCTTTGGGCATCCTCCTGTTGTCAGGCCATTGGCCCTGCCTCCCTTTTGGTGCATCCTCCTGGTTGTTTTGGGGTTACTGGCCTCCCGCTTTCCCTTGGGCATCCCACATTTGCTGCCCTCCCGTCTCCCTTGGTGCATCCTCCTGGTTGTTTTGGGGTTACGTCCTCCCGCCTTCCTTTTTGGGTGCATCCTCCTGCTGTTTTGGGGTTACGCCCTCCCGCTTCCCTTTTTGGGTGCATCTCCTGGTTGTTTTGGGGTTACGCCCCGCCTTCCTTTTGGGTGCATCCTCCTGGTTGTTTTGGGGTTACGCCTCCCGCTTTCCCCTTTGGGTGCATCCTCCTGGTTGTTTTGGGGTTACGCCCCCGCTTTCCCTTTTGGGTGCATCTCTGGTTGTTTTGGGGTTACGCCCCGCTTCCCTTTTGGGTGTATCCTTCCGGTTGTTTTGGGTTATCTTCCCGCCTTTGGGTGCATCCTCTGGTTGTTTTGGGGTTACGCCTCCCGCTTCCCTTTGGGTGCATCCTCCCGGGTTGTTTTGGGGTTACGCCTCCCGCTTCCTTTGGGTGCATCCTCCTGGTTGTTTTGGGGTTACGTCCTCCCGCTTCCCTTTTGGGTGCATCCTCCTGGTTGTTTTGGGGTTACGTCTCCCGCCCTTTTGGGTGCATCCTCCCGGTTGTTTTGGGGGGTTACGTCCTCCCGCTTCCCTTTTGGGTGCATCCTCCTGGTTGTTTTGGGGTTACGTCCTCCCGCTTCCCTTTGGGGGTGCATCCTCCTGGTTGTTTTGGGGGTTACGTCCTCCCGCTTCCCTTTGGGCATCCTCCTGGTTGTTTTAGGGTTACGTCCTCCCGCTTCCCTTTTGGGTGCATCCTCCTGGTTGTTGCGGGGCAGGCTCTTTGGGAAGCAAGCGGAGATGGAGGCTGGTGTCACGACACTGCTCGTGAGTGGACCAGCCGTGGGTCAGCGGTGGAGGGGTGGGGAGAGAGAAGTCAGGCTCACCTCCACCAGCCCTGCGGAGCTCTGAGGATGGGATGGGAGGTGAGTGGGCTCACCTGCATTCTGCATTGGTTGTCAGACATAGGCCACCCAGAAGAGGGCCTGACAGCCGTGAGCCGCCTGCCCTGTGGTGCCCCCAACCTGAAGGGGATCCTGGCCCCCTCCCTCACAGTGTCTTGCTGTAAGAGAAAATCGCACCTGCCTTACCTGGGTCTGCTGTTACCGCCAGCCCCATTTCGATGGGGCCCTTGAGAGAGGAGGAAGCGCAGCGCAGAGGAGCTCTGCCACAAGTGCACAGCCTGTTTGCAAGAGACATGTTTCCTCTCCTCGTCCGGGAAAGTGGCTCTTCCCGGTCGGCTGTGTATCATCACGCCCTGCTGAGGCCTGCGCCAGTGACTGCGGGCTGGCCTAGAAGACAGCAGCCAGCAGCACCCAGCCGCTGGAGCAGCCACTGGTGCCGCCACTGCCAGCAGCCGGGGCCTCCAGGCCAGCCCAGGTACAGGGGAGTGAACTCTGTTCATGTAGAATCACAGCAGCGACCCCCTCAGTTCCTAGGCTGGGGCAGGGAAGCACTGCCCTGGCCTCCTCCTGGTCCCTGGCAACCTTCTGCTGGGTGTCACTGTGTCCGCATGGTTGGGTTTGATGGACCTCAGGGATGAAGACAGAAGAAGAACCAGGCCAGGAGTGGTGAAGGGCAGGGCTCCTCCTGTGGGGTGCTCAGAGTGGGCCACCGTGCCATCACCAGTGGGCACACCTGTGAGCTCCACCAGCCATGCGGCTAGAACTCACCCCGCTGATGCCGACGGCCAGGGTGGCTTTGGGGTTTCACCCTCAACCGGCAGAAGAAGCTTTACACGCTTGGATGTTTCCCTTTTTCTTTTTGAAACTCACACCTTGGGCATGCATTGCGTCCTGCCCTGGCGACTGACGTGAGCACAAAGGGAGTCTTAGTCAGCCGCTCGGCCCGCGGGAAGGAAGAGGTGAGTGGGAGTGACTCACGCCAGGCTTGGCCTCCAGGCTTCATGGCAAAGCAGTGAATGCGAACGCCCAGGGGAGCCGCTGTGCCGAATTGAAGCTGATTTGTGCTGAAAGAAGAAAACCTAATTCACAGATTACATACCAGTCATGGCCCTTCCAATGGACGCGTCTCCCTCTGCTTAGTAATAGGAGTTCCTCCAGCGCCACTCGTGGAAAATAGAATTTGCAGGCGGAAACAGCATTAGGGAGGGTGCCGGCCATCTACTGCTGTGTGACAGCAGTGCCCCTGCAGACCCGGCAGCTCAGAACAGCACACAGCCTCCAGGTCTGGTGCCTGTTGTGGGACTCAGCCAGTTTCTCTGTGCAGCGTCCCACCAGGTTAAGGCTGCCTTTGCAGTTGAGACCACCCAGCGTCCCCCGTCTTTCTCCTGTCTGACAGAACTATTTAATATTACCAGCTGGGGTCCTTAGCATGGCCTCCCACCCCTCAGAGCC